TTTCTAGTCTGTCTTAGTTTAAAAACAACAGCAGCAACAACAACAACCTGTTTTTGTAAATGTTATTGAGATTTTTGATAAGTATTGAATTGTAAAGACTTTGTTGTACACTCTCTTCGTTGTACACTCTCTAAGAAGTACAAATATTCTACTTTGTACATTAAAGGTAGATATATAAATTGTAGCAGTTAACTATAGTCAATAGGTTTGACATTCTTTTATGAATGTTAAGACAAGTGATCAGGATATATTGATTAATAGAAGGGCCTTTCCAACTCCTCAAGGAGGACCATGAGAATATTGGAGTCTACATGAAAATCTTCCTTGGAAAAACTTCTAGGTACACTCTAAGATATGGACAGAAAGAATATAAAAATCTCAGTGTTTCATATTGAATGGTTATGATCATTTTATCCTAAAAACTTGTTAAAGTTACTGTTGCTAAGCTTGCTTTTCTTCAATGAGTTATCCATAGCACGTCTATTTTTAAGCAATGAAATATCTTGGTTGAATCTCCCAAGACAGTAAATTTCATGTATTTATTTTATTTATATTTGTTTTTAGCTGTTATTGAGTCAACTCTGACTCATGCAAACCCTGTGTATATAACAGAATGAAACGCTGCCTGGTCCTGTGGCATCCTGACAATAACCAGCAACAACAACTTGATGCTCAAGTCCATCGCTGTGATTATTGTGTGAATCCATCTCTCACTGAGGGGTTCTCACCCTCGAGCCCCCTACTTCATCAAGTGATTAATCCTTCCTGATGATGTGTCCAGAGCAAGCGAGTGAGACAATGTTCTATTGTGACTCATAAGGTTTTCATTGGTTAATTTTTGAAAGGAGATTACTTTTCTTCCTAGTCTTTCTTAGTCTGGAACTCCACTGAAACTTGTCTGCCACAGGTGATCCTGCTGCTATTTGAAATTCCAGAGGCATAGCTTCCAGCATCACAGCAACACACATCATGAGAGTATGACAAACTGATAGATGGGGGGTGATCACATACACATATGATCACCAATATTCTCTCTCTATATATAGTTTTGTTTTAATTTTTAAAGCAGTAATACCTGGTTTTCAAACAAAATCTTATCTTGAACTTTAATATAGGTAAAGGAGAGTCTTTTGACAGAAAATGAGGTAGAGGGCTTGGTTTTCACCCTAATTTAAGGTAGGCTCTCTTTGAAAAAAAAAAAGGTTCCTAAGGGCTTCAAGAAACATGGTTTGAAAGCCTCTGCTGTAAGATAAATTAATTTTTAAATGTATGCCTAGGTCACTAAACAAATTGATTTACTATATTGTAGTGTTAACCTCTATGAACAGGTGAAATGGTAGAAAAACCATAAACCAAACCCACTGGCATCTAGTCAATCCTGACTCATAGAGACCCCCATTGGGTTTCTGAGGTGATAAATCTTTCGGAAGTAGATTGCCCAGTCTTGCTTCCACGGAGTAGCCATGGGTTTGAACCACCAACCGTCTGGTTAGCAGTCAGATGCCTTAGTCACTGTGCTACCAGAGCTCCTTGAAATGGTAGAAGACATTTTTAAAAAGTGATTATTTTTTAATTAGTCATCCAATTATAATAAAGATACATTCCCCAGACTCTAGATACCCCAGTTTTTAATACAATCATGCAGCTGGACTAAGAGTTAACCTTAGTCTAAGGAAGGCTGTGGCATGCCCAGGCCCTATCCCAGGCTTCCCTTCAGCTTCAGATCTGATCCGCCCATTCTTTTCAATGCATTGGAGTTTAAATTCTAGAGCACTTTGTTTTGTGGAAGGCTGCTATCTACAGCGGTAGCCCTGACTCCTTATTCAGTTTTGACATAAATCCAGACACCATTTGAGTTCTTCATGTTACTTGTCCAGTGCTTGCTCCAATGTGGTCCAGGACAAGTCCATCAGGCTCACACAAAGAACTAGGGAACATGTCTGGGCACATCTTTAATGATTCACCAAAAAGAGCCACATGTTATCTAATTTAAGTTAAAAGTTGGGGTCCTGGTGACTATGAGGCAGAGTGTCATGATTGTGGGTCACACTCCAACCACCCATGTGGAAATCCCAGAACCAATCTATAACATTTTTAAACCTGTAATGATATGGCATCCCAATTATGATCTTCCCCATCCCCTTTCTGTAGTTCTGCCTGCAACAATGATGGATTAACCTGCCACCAATCGTGATGCTGTGATAATTTCCTTTGTTCTTTATCATATACTCTATGGTGGCGTAGTGCCTAAGGCATTTATTTGACTGCTAACCAGAAGGCTGGTGGTTCAAACTCCTCGGAAGGAAGGCTGGGTAATCTACTGTAGTGGTACTACCTCGGAAACTCAAGGAGGGGTCTCTATGAGTCGGACGTGACTCGTCGGCAGTGCTTTGTGTTTGGCTTCTTCTGCCTCTGTATTGTGTGCATCCTGACAGTTATATTTGTTTTGTCTTTGCCCTGTTTAAGCTTAATAGAAGTGTCTCTACAGAAAATATTTGAATCTGGGGTCTTTTTTCCTTAGCACACTAGCACCGTCTGGTCGCTTAAGAACAATGTCACTTCACTGCGCAAGTAGTTGCAGGAAGTTTAGTCCTCACAACTACATTCCAGACAGCAGGTAGGAAAAATGGAGGAAGTACAAATGAACCTGGTTCTTTGAAAAGATCTCCCTGAAATCCCACTCAAAAACTCCTTACAACTCAACAGCCAAAATATAGTCACATGGCCACACCTACCTGCAACTTTCATGTTGTACTTTAGCAAGACATGGATACATTAGCATCGATACACACTATTTTGGACTTTTTTTTTCCTCACAGACCTATCTTTCCTTAAATATTCATTCCGTGAAAATTTTCCTTTTATGGAAATGAAACAGCAAAAAATGCATAGCACATACACAATGACTTTCTGAAAGTCATACTAAGTTACTTTTCAAGCTAAAGATTAAATGTTGTTATGTGCCATTGAGTTGGACCCCATAGCGACCCCTCCTTGGGTTTCCGAGGCAGTATCACTACAGAAGGTGATTGCTCAACCTTTCTTCCAGGAGTGGCTGGTGGGTTTGAACAGCCAGCCTTCTGGTTAGCAGTCAAGTGCCTTAGGCACTATGCTACCAGAGCTCTCAAAGATTAAATAGTAGATGGGAATTTAAATCAGGGAGTTTGAGTTATTTTTCTTAGTGGAGATAATTTAAAATCTGTTGATTTTTGTTTTAAATAATGTTGATGATTCTGAAACTTACCCTACAGTAATGCTGGTGAAAATAATTTAGACTATATTTTCAGATTAATTGCAACACGATTAGACTTTATCTTTCTTTAACTGTGTGTTGGTTGGTGTGGCTGAAATAATGAGATTATAGGGTGGTCCAATTATTTAGTTCAAACAGTCATGCACACCCTACGGCTTAATTACCGTGAATAAATCAATCCCACCCCAAATTCATTGGCTGTCACTGACAATAGCTTTAACTGTACTCGCACAGTGTGAGGAATTTATTGAGCATGCTAGAACTCACAATGAAAACTTTAGCCGTTAAAGTAACTGCTGACTCTCAGAGATTAGTTTTTCTTTAACGTAGCACCTGCAATTTTATCCAATTTAAACTCTACAGTCCTGTCTCTTTTCAAGACAAACTAAGTCTGTTTTATTATTTTTTAAAAAACGTTTTTTTCTTACCTTTTTACTGTTAAAAAAAAAAAACAACTAGAAAAATCTGAGGGCTTTGTCAAGAATTCGTAAAATAATTAGACCCGGGTCTTTGCCCAGGGGCATTTTAATAATAAAGAAATTTTAGCAACATTGTGGCTAGTTTAAAAGAAAGATATTTACAACGGAAAAACCTTTCCTCACTATTATATTTACTCTGAGATACACGGCAAAGCAAAATTTACGATTCAGCTACTGCTGATTTCGACATTTTTATTTATTAGGTCATCAGTTTCCAGTTTACTACTATGTTTTAAAAGGTATTCCTTTTAAAACAGAGCAGTAGACTAGGGGGTCCGCTATTTGTTTCCAACTGGTGAGCGGCGTTGGAAGGGCGTGAATGCAGAAGAGTTGGGGCGGAAATTAGCGACTTAATAAGACGCCCAGCTCCAGAGATACCCTGCCGGGTGTTAGAAACAAATAGAGCAGAAGAGATTTGGAGCTAATTAAAAACAACCACAGGACACTCCCCTTCGCGTTATCCGGGACCGGGTGTCCGCCTTTACAGAGTTGAGGGGCGGGGATTAATTTGGATTCAAATTTAAAGCGGGACGCCAGCGCGTGGCTCAGCAGGTGCCTCTAGCTCGGCTCCCCTCCGCTGGGGTTTCCGCCGCTACCTGCCCACAGGGCCGGAAATTACCTAGCAGGAGGGCGGCCTCTCCTTTGTTGTTAGTCTTTCAACAGCCCAGTAAACCTTAAAAAAGTGCGGAGCGGAGGGCTTGCCGGGGGTGCTTCGCTGACAGACCCTAGTGCGTCTTCACGCTTTTGGCCACTGTGTCCCCTTCCCTTCTCTTGGCATGCTTTTAGTAACTGTGGGAAGCCAGAGCATAGCCGGAAAGGGAGTGGGAGGGGGCAGAAGGGATGGGACAGTGAACAAGTGATAGACATTTCACAGTCAGGTTAACTTCAGAGAGCGAAGAGGAATACGCATGCGCCAACTGCGTCCGGGCGCGTGGAGAAAGTCGCGCATGTGCAGAACCATGTGCAGAAAAATGAAGCAAAGAGGTGACCCACAGGTTGAGGGCGCTTTAGTTACCAGAGAGCCACAGCCGGCTGGAGGCGCCTGCGCAGAGCGCGCGTGTGTGTGGGGGCTCTTCCAAGGGGGCGGGCGGCGAGTAGCGCCGGCCTCTCGCGCCCCCTGGTGCGCGCCTGGGGAGAGGAAGGCGCGGGAGGGGACCGAGAGGAGGGAGGAGGCAAGGAGGGCGGGAGGGGGAGGGGAGCGGGAGCGAGGGGAGGGTTTATCGACCGGGCGATTTTGGTTAAAATATTCAAAATGGCGGACGGAGGAGCAGCGAGTCAAGATGAGAGTTCAGCCGCGGCGGCAGCAGCAGCAGGTAATCATTACAGCATTTTACATATTCATATTCATACTCAACCCCGGCTCCCGCTGCCCCCCCCCCGCGACTTAGCATAATTTATTAGTACTCAGGATTATTATAATTAACGGCGGGGAGATGGGGGGCCGGGGAGCACGGAGCCCCCGCCGGGCGCCGAGCGGAGGGGGAAAAGAGGGTCGGAGCGGCCAGGCAGAGGGGGAAGACAAGGGGCAAAGGGGGATGCGATCCACCGCCCTCCTCCTGCCCCCGGCCCACTCCGCCGCTTGCTCGCCGGCCCGCCTGCCGGCAATGGCCCTCCTCCCCCGGCCGCCACTGCTGCCGCCTCCTCGCCGCGGTCCCGGTACCCGAGCGGGTCCGTGGCGGGTCCGCGGGTCTGGGCCAGAGAGAGAGGACAATAAAGACATTTTACATATTCATAGTTGCTGGGCCGGCGGGGCGCGGGCTGGAGACCGTGCTGGCCGGGCGTGGGTTGGGGGGGCGTAGAGAGGGATGGAGGTGGCAGTGAGCACAATGCCAGGGAGGCGGCGGGGCCGGAGCGGACCCCGGTGGCCGGACAGCTGCATGCGTCCCCCCACGGGAGTGGGCTGGGGGGGGCGCCGCCTACTGCGGGGGGAGGCCGGGGGTGCGCCTGGGGAGAGCGCCCTGCCGGCACCAGGGTCCTACCGCTGCACGGGGGTCCAAACGCCGCTGAGCCTGGGGGTCACGGCCCCGGACACCTCGGCCGCGCCCCACTCCTCCCCCATGTGGCGGCCTGACTTGAGCCAGGCCTGCGCTCTAGGTGGGTAGGTGTGAGGGGTCGCGGACACTGCGAGGTGGCCTTGGGTCGGCGAGTGGGGAGATTCGCCCCTGGGCTGTTGACTGGGTTGGAAGAGAGCCCTGGGGGAAAGTTCCCCGCGGAATAGGATGCTCTCCGGGGCTGCCCCATGTGCCCCAGGTCATCGGTCAGCAGTCCCCGTTGGTCCCGAAAAAGACCCCTGCTCCCGGTTGGCTGTGGTTTCGCGGGAGAGTTGGGTTAGAGGTCCTTGATCTGATCTTCGTGTATCCCCTCCCGCCCCTCCCCGTGCTGCCGCTTCTCCGCCTGGGCAGGAGGGACGGGGCCGGCGACCCTTGGGGACCTCCGCCTTCGGGCCCCAGAAGCGGCCAGAGGCCTCCAGAGAAATCAGATGTAAAGGACTGCCCTATTGCCCTTACCCCAGAACGGGGTGGCCTGACAACTTGATAATATTCGTGATTTCCCCTCTCTTGTTGGGAGTTGGTGGGTAGGGAAGAGGATCCCCTTCCCTAGTCTTATTGGTGGTGTTTTCTTGCTGCGTGCTGGGTCCCCTCTACTCTCTGCTTAGCCTAACCGCTCTCATTTGAATAATGTCTAATTCGGGGAGGTTTATATTATTGAAATGGCCGCCTGGCTTTCCCCGCCTCTCATGTTTAGTAATTCAGACCTTTAATAACAGCCACTCACAGCCCAACGCCGTGTTTATATTTTACATTCGCCCCATGTGCTTTTGTGGTTCGATATGATTCTTTTTTTTTTTTTTTTTTTTCCCCTTGGCAATCCACTGGGCTCTGAGATCAAACCCAGACTGTGCTGGGAAAAGAAGCGGGAGAGCTAGGCCTTGGCTTTTCTAGTAGTTGCCTAGGCCTCATGTTCTCTGCCGCTTGATTTATTTACTAATAACCAAAATCACTCCCCCAACCAACTACCACACACATACCCACCTCCGCGGGCAAAACAACCCCTCCTGGGGCCTAAAACAGCTCCTTGCTAAGCATCAACTCGTGTTTTGTTCTTTCTTAAAAAGACCTTCTAATTTGAAGTAATATTAGGCCTAAGGGGGAAAAAAAAATCTGTCATTTCTCAAGTTCAGAGGCTTATAAAAAAATATTTTAGCTTAATACAAGTAAATCACTTTGTTTCTGTTATAATATCCCCTGACTCCCGATGCCTCAAGTTAAACACTTTAATGATTTGTAACAGTCTGCAGTATTTGTGAAACCAATACTCTCCTCCACCCTTTTCTACAAAGTTGTGCTATATATAGCCAAGTATTTTAGAAATCCTAATTAATAATACTTTCATAATTTTTCAGTGCTGTGTTCCCTTTCCAGTCTCTTTCATATCAATTTAAAATGGGGCTGACATTAATTTTATGTCATCATTGTCATAGACTTGCTTATTTTAGTTTGTAGTGCTACATTATGTTTTCTTAGAATATTTGTGTCATAGTTAAATGAGAGAAAATAGAAGAAATAAACACAGGGATTGTGTCTACCCTGATCTTGGAACTTCCTACCCCCACAAAACACCCTACCCTCAGAATTGATTTTATGTTTTATCTAATCTTAGGGCAGTTGGGCTGTGAAAGGCAGATTAAATAACTTTTGCTGTTTAGAGGAAACAATAATTTTGATTGTTGGCCTTTCTTGGGTAGAGGTTTTTTTTTTTTTTACTTTTTAGTTTATGTAGTTGTACTCTGTTTTTAAAAAAATAGTGTTGCTTCTCACTGGCAATTGTTTACCTCTGTTAGTGGGAGGGAGTGACAGTGTTGTTTAACACTGATGTTAACCTTTGAAATTATATTAAGGCATTTTATGGTCATTTTGTGGGAAATTAGTCTTCTCATCAGCTTATTTTTTAACAAAATTCTAGATTTGATTGACTAAAAAAGCAAGCTAGTTTCAGACAATCAGTTCTCACCATTATTTTCTTCTTTCACCTCTAGTAGGCAGGCCTTGAATGCAGCAGGGAAGAAAAAAGTCTGTAGTTTTCATGAGACTTCAGGTGAATGACTGATTCAGAGATGGAAGCATAAGGTTGGATGGACAAAAAGCAGTAATATGATTTCATGCCTTAAATAGCATATATTTTTGCACTCGATTTCCAAGATGTGGTCAAGCTGATGATGTCATTGGACAGAGGACAAGGTGCAGTTAATTTGATTTATTGTTCTGAGGTGAAGTGTAGCAGTGAGACCTTCTCATAGGGAAACCATTTATCTCAGGACAATTTCCTTTATAGCTGCAATTTAGCCACTATGGAGGCTGTAGATATTTTATCCAAGATGATAAAATGTACATTGCATTTTATAAACAAAATTTCACTGTTAACTTTTTTTGGTAATAAAGAATGGGTATTGTTAACTTGCCTTTTTGTTGGCTTTCTGTGCTGTCGTAAGAATTTATTCCCTCAAATTGTCTAATTTAGATTTTAATTAAATATGATCATAGAAGTGATCCTTATGCATCCTTATTTTAGGTAGCTTCTTTGTGATTCCCCCAGACTCCAATAAGCAGCCCTGTTACTTGACTTAATCTCAGTATGACCCAGACTGAAGGAGAGACCATTTGCCTTAGAACCTATTTTAGTGAATAAAGTAGAATTGAAGAAGAGGAGGCTGCAATTAATAGTGTTTAAAATAAGTGGAATAATTACAGGAAATCATATGTATTGAAAGGTTTTTTTAAAAATAAGAATTCTTCGTGGATTTGTCTTAAATCAGTCTGAACAAAAGTGTGTATATTATTTTGATTAATGATTTCAAAAATTTTCTACTCCCAGGTGGTGATTCCACTTATGATTTTTTTTGGCATATTATAGTACTTTATTCTTGTGATTTTTTTTCTCATCGTATTTTAAACTAAAATTATCTTAAAATGACAAAAAGCCCTGGGAATGTGATGAAATTGCTGTGCTTTATTCCTAACCCTATTTAGGAGCCAAGCTTGATAGACTATTTTCAGTTACTTTTGAGCTTTCTGCCTGCTTGTGTCCTTTAGCATCTATAAGACAGCTTTCCACAGGATTTCTTTGTCATTTTCTTCTGAACTTGCTTCACCCATTAATGGTAATAGTACTTTTACCTTTAATATCCTGAAAATTTTTATGACGGCTGACCAAATGTTTTTAATATCTAAAGGCCCATACTGCTTCCAAGCCATTACTGTAAAAATAATTTTTAACCTTTTCTCCAAGTAATTTCTAATTCCTTTCATTTTGTTATTGTCAAAAATCCCAGTAGTAAAGGGGTGAAAACAGACAGTACTGTTATTCAGGTTTAAATGGTATAATATTATGCCATTTTAAAATTTATTATTCTCTGTATCGATAGGTGGTGTAAAGCAGAATGCAATAAAATGTGTTTCATTGCTGCCTGGATAGAGGCAATTGTCAATCTGTGTTATTCATCGTTAATCTGTGTTACTCATCGTTAATCTGTGTTACTTATCTAGCCAGGTGGATTTTGAAATGAATTTAGGGTTCAGGATGTTAAATTGTTCTTATCAACATTTTAATGTTTACTGTCGTTGTTGTTATGTGCCAGTCGAGTCGGATCCGACTCATAGCAACCTCTCCTTGGGTTTATGGGGCAGTATCACTACGGAAGTAGATTGCCCAATCTTCCTTCCGAGGAGTGGCTGGTGGGTTTGAATTGCCAGCCTTCTGGTTAGCAGTCAAGTGCCTTAGGCACTATGCTTCCAGAGCTCCTGATGTTTACTAGAGCCTTGAATATCTTAGCATTTAACCATTAACCCATTGCCAATTACAACTCATAGTAAATCCATAGGATAGAGTAGAACTGCCCCATAGGGTTTCCAAGGCTCTGGTGCCTTAGTGCCTAAGGCATTTGACCGCTAACCAGAAGGTTGGCTGTTCAAACCCACCAGCCACTCCGTGGAAGGAAGATGGGCAGTGCGGGTTTTTTTTTTTTTTTTCCTCTATGGAAACAGCCTTCTACAGTTTTCTCCCACAGAGCAGCTGATGGGTTTGAACTGATGACCTTATGATTTGCAGCCGAGTGCTGTGCCACAGTGCCACAAGGGCTCTTTTTGAGTATCTTAGGCTATGAGTCGGGGCCGACTCGATGGCACATAACAACAACAACAACAACAGGCAGAATATAGCATACAGCGATTCTAAAATGACAGAAGTGGAAATTTGAATGTTATGTTTCATAAATATTTCCCATTAAGAAATGAAATATTTGGAGTGTTTCTTGAAT